AAAATAGTGATAATTAGAAGGAGAAAGAGAAATCATCCACAAATTAGTTCATTATTCGAAGTTTTGGAAGAAGATTTAACTTGTTTGAAAATAACATTATTGAATTTCAGAGGAAATAGATTGTGTTAATACATATGAAAAAATAGTTTTGAATCAGTTAAATCATTGATGCATGTAAGGTATTTGATAAAAGGAGAATGTGAATTCTGCTACTTTTCCAATTTTCTAAAAAAAGTCACACTATATCCTTGAAATCATTAACTAGATGCATACGTGTACATTTTTTGAAATTTGAACATACCAATTCAAGCTCTATTTTATGGTAATACATATGAAAAAAGAAAATTTTGAATCAATTAAATCATTGATGCGTGTAAGGTGTAGGACAAAAGGAGAATGTGAATTATGTCGCTTTTCTTTGAAGAAGTAACATTATGTTACTTTTCTATGAAAAAGTTATAGTATCTCATTGGAATAATTAACTAAATGCATGTGTGTGCGTTTTGGAAATTTGAATGTACAAATTCAAGCCATGTTTTATGTTAATACGTATGAAAAAGAAAATTTTGAATCAATTACATTCATGCATGCATGGTGTTTGCTCAATGAGAATGTAAATTCTGTCACTCTTATATGAAAAAATCTGTCACTTTTTTTTCAAAAAAAGTTACAGTGTCTTATTAACTAGATGCATATTACTCTGTCACTTTTCTCTAAAAAAACTCTTACACAATTTCTTTATAATCTTATTGTAGGAATGAATAAAATTAATGTCTTCATTTCTTGTGGAGGAAAATTGACACAAGATAATGAATATATAAGTGAGAAAATGATTGGAATTGTTGTACCAATGGATTTTACGTACAACAATTTTCAGTGCATGATATTTTCTGTGATGAAACTAAGTACATCAACACAAAGAATAAAAATACAATATAGAGTGAAGAAAAACCTACATTTAATGGAGATTTCATATTATATTTCTCTAACATTTTATTTGGAGCTCAAAATAAAAGATAAAGATCTTGCAAGCTTTCCATTGCACGTGGATGTGACAACGGTATCAAAAAGTCACGAAACTGAATTTGTTAATAATATATAACGTTTGGAGGCTGCGGCTTCGAAAAAAATGATATGAGACAACTGCAGTTTTGTGAAACTGTAACTAATAATTCTGTGACGTCAATTCAGAAATTGCCTAGTATGGAAGAAATTGTTGTTGATGTGATGTATATCGGGAGTTGAAGAAACGACGAATGAAAGAGGAAGTGATATCATTTTAGTAGTCACTATGGATGAAATTTCAAAAGATAAAGTGTTCATGAACAAGACATTGGCTAAGAGAAATACACAATAACTTTCAATTCAAAGTATGTAAGTCGAACAAGAAAGAATATGTGTTGAAGTGTATTGATGAGAAGTGCAAATGGACTTCTAGAGTTTTAAGACTTTGTGGAATAGATATGTTCAAGGTAAGGTATATTAAAAATGATCATATATGTTCAAATAACATCATTTTAGAAGATCATTATCAAGCAACCAACTCAATAGTAGGATAATTCGTCATGTACAAGTGTATCTCAACAAAAGCAACATACACTCCTGCAGACATTATAAGTGACGTGATGAATACATATGGAGTGTCGATGAGTTATGAGAAAGTTTTGAGATCTAAGGAGAAAAACATTGGAATTGGTGAGAGAGATCCCACATATTCATATGAAAAGCTTCCGGAATACTTGGACATGATAGAACAAACAAATCCCGGAACAGTTACAAAAATAGAGATATATGAGGACAAGAAATTCGAGTACCTCTTCATGGCATTAGGAGCATCTATTCAATGATGGAAGTATTGTAAACCAGTTATAGTAATAAATGCAACTATGGCGGAACACTTTTCACTATATGTACGCAAGATGTCAACAACAATATCTTCATATTAGCATTTGAAATTTGTGATTTAGAAACTAATGATTCATGGGAGTGATTCTTAATTATGTTAAAAGAAGCTTATGGTGAGCGAAAAGTATTGTGTATAATCTCAGATAGACATGCAAGCATAAAAAATGCAATTTGCAAAGTGTATGAGAATGCAATGCATGGTATATGTTCCTATCACTTGTTAAAGAACTTAAAGTCGTCCTTTGGTGGGAAGAAAAATGAAAAAAAATATTGCAGAACATTTCAATAGGGTCGTAAGAGCATATTCTAAGAATGATTTTGAATTCCATATAAAACAACTTGATGAAATCGAAATCAATACGGGGATTCGATCACATTTGGTATGTTATCATTGTTAACTTCTATAATAACCGATATTACTTCTTAAACAAAGAGTAACAAAATGTCACTTTTTTGTTAAAAGTAACATGATATGTCACTTTTTGTAAAGTTTGTAAGTGTTGATAAAACAAAAAGTCACATTCTGTCACTTTTTTGTTAAAAGTGAGTTTAAAAAGTGACAAATAGTTACTTTTTTGTTTTAGGTTAAATAAATATTAATATTTTGAATCTTCTTTGTATAGAAAGATATTGGTTATGAGAAATGGTCAAGGGCTTACATGACAAACAATAGATTTTCTACAATGACTTCAAATATAGTTGAATCAGTAAATTCGGTAACAAAATCAACAAAAGGTTGTCCAATAAAACCTTTATTGGAATCGTTAAGATACTTGTTACAACAATGGTTTGTAAAGCATATAAATGATGCACTGGCAACCTTTACAACACTTGCCATCAAATTAAAGAAAAGTCTGGGAGTCAAAGAAAATGAAAATAAAAAGTTATAAACCTACTATTTTGTTGTTATTGTATATCGGCATTTCTATTATAGCATGATTTTTAACCTCCATTCATATTTAATTTTCACTTTAAATATTCATTTAATATAAAATAGTGACAAATTTATTGATAGAGAATTTTATTGTATTATTCACACAGGTATCACCTTCAAGTTCGATATTATACCAAATTAATGATGGTTGTGCCTTATATTTGCTAAATATGGAAGAAAGAACCTGCACATACATCCAATTCCAAGTGGACAAGATTCTGTGTGCACACACACTTGCGGTTGTTGTAAAAATAAAGGGAGATTCATATTCATATTGTTCATTATATTATACAACAGATACGTATACTCAAACTTATAGAGGAACAATTTTTCCACTTGGAGATCACAATGACTAAAATGTACCGGATAAGGTAAAAGCAAGAATAGTCTTGGCTCCTAATCCAAAAAGAAAATCCAGAAGACCTAAAGAAAAAAGGATACCATCAAAACGAGAGAAAATTCAAAGTGCAAAATGTGGAAGATGTGAGAATAATAGCTACAATCATGGATCATGTCAAAATCCAACAAATGTGAAAAAGAAACCACAAAATATATGGAAGTTGGAAGACATATGGAACTAGATTATTTGATATTTTTTGTTTTAGAATGTTTTTCAATTCAAATATTCTGAGCAACATGTCAATTCTGAAGTTTATTATGTATGTGACTTTGTTAAAAAAAAGTGACGATGAATTTTGATGGAATTGAATTTCTTAAAAAATGGTTTGTTATGTGTATGTTTATGTGACAATGGACATCATACTTCATTAACATTGGATCCACAGTTAGAATCATTGTTACTCAATAAATCGATTAGGCTCCAGTATCCTCTGCTCAACCTTTCAGCATGAATATAAAATATTAAACTATCACGAGCAGAGACAATAAAAAAAGTGACGTGTCACTTTTTTGACATGTTAAAAGCTAACATGTATAATTAGGTATTATATTGCAATTCTTTGGATAACTGGTTATGTTATGCCTTGTTAAACCAAATGATATAGTGTACTTTGACCTTGGAGTAGTATGATATGTTCGACCTTGATTATGCCAAATGATATACAAGTGACTAGTATGTTAAAAAAAAGTGACAATGTCCCTTTTATTAAAAATGTGACATTATGTCACTTTTTGTTCTACTAGCTGCTAGCATGTTAGAAGTTACAAACATGTTATAGTTAGATACTAGTATTAATATTGATCAACTACATCATCAACTTCCCTGATCCATTGATATTGTAATGAAAACATGTCCAAAATTTCAAAAATTAACAAGTGAAGCTATCGTGTCACTATTAACATTGTCACTTTTTTGTCCAACTAGTCATTACATACATCAACTACTAACCAATTTATGTACATCCATAAAATATTCTAACAACAAAATTAGTCATTACATAACAAGACATGTCCACTTCTTCAAAATCACCTTCTTCTTCAAAATCAGTCTCCTTTTGATATCCATTTATTATCGATATTATAACCCACATCTTACTTCTTCTTTCCATAAGCATATAATTGAGCTGCCAAGTTTCTTCTAACCTGTGGAAT